TTTATGTTCTATTGTAGTGTTGGCGTACGCCAGGGACAGGCCTGTCCCAAAAGAGAACAGGTTCACGCTTGTGGCGCCACGTACGTGCTAGTTGTATTGTTCTGTGGAAGGCATGCAACCCGGGTAAGGAGCGAGTCGCAAAAGTAGCGAGGGGCGCGTTGGCCGCCGCCGCCAGGCGGCGGCGCTTAGGCCGCAGTTTAGGGATTTAGGGTTTAGGGTTTAGGGGTTTAGGGTTTCAGGTTTAGGGGTCTAGGGTCTAGGGGTTTAGGGTAAGGTTTAGGGGTTTAGGGTTTAGGGGTTTATGGTTTAGGGTTTAGGGTTTAAGGTTCAGGGCTTTAGGGTTTAGGCCTTCCTTCTTCACCAAGGAAGCTTCATGTGCACCTGCACGTGTGGATATACGGAAGTATAGGGCTTGCGTAGGGCTCTTTAGGAATAATTTTGGTGAGCGCATATTATCTGGTCGTGATAAGCCCTGTGCAGCAAGCCTAAACCCGACACCCTAAAACCTGAACCCTGCGTCAAATACTATCCTGAACCTGCAAGATGCCAATGCTGAGCCCGAAACCTACACCCCTAAACCCTAAACCCTAGGTCCAATCGGGAAGATGCAGCTCCAGCTGAAGTCTAGCTCGGCACCATTTGACAGTATTTTGGGTGGCTCTTTCTCCACACCCCTTGTTACAACCTTCGGTTGATAAGAAACCCCGGGGCTAGCTTTCGTGACTTTTGTACACATGCAACTCAGATTGACTCACGCGCTCCAAGTCCAAACTCTATTCTCACTGAGTCCACAAGCATCTTGCTGGAGGTCTTCTACAGCAGAGGCAGGCTTTCCCCCCTATGTCGCTCTTTGAATGGGCTTGGGTGGTGCTGAACTCCCCCCGCCCTCCTCTTTTCCTGGAAAATGCCTCGCATCAACGCACGATTCGTCTCTTCTGCTTCCTTTGTCTCTACTGCTACAAACGCTTAGCTTTATTCATTCTCTTTTTTTTCACCAGGGCTGTGGGCAGAGGTTGCCCTCTGCCCGATTCTCTTCTTCAACACAGACAAGAGCAGGCATGTAACGCGGGCGCGCCCTGTCCACCGTCGTCTGATTGCCCGATTCTCGCTCTCTCTCTCTCTCTCTCTCTCTCCCTCTCGCTCTTTCTTTCACCAGGTTTGACTCTTTGTCTTTCTGTTGCGGGTAAGAGGTGGGGGAGCGACCCCCAACCCCCACGCTCCTGGCGCCACCCATATGGTGTGGGAAACGAAAAGGCTACCAGCATGACAAGGCAAATTTGCCTCAAGCCGTTGACTAGCACACAATCAGAGGCATACCCCAAGCACTAGTAACTCAAGGCAAAATTGCAACAAACGATTCTAGGGCAGACAATGTGCAATGGCAAGGATAACAATCGAACACGTTGCACCAGAGGACAAGTAAAGCTCACGATTATCGAGAATGCAATTCACAGTCTCTCTCTCTCTCTCTCTCTTTCTTCTCCGGGGCATAGGGAGCATCCGAAGCACCCGAGCCGAAGGCTAACCCCTGTTGGCAAATCTTTGGGGAGGCGTGAAACGACAGTGCACAGTCAAAGGGAATCTCATGCTAGAGTCAAACTACGATGAAACAATGCTGCTCCCCCCGCATGTACTGCATGAAGAGCTATGACCTCTCTCAGAGCCCGCCTGCCCTGAAGAGTCTGTGGCCGAGGGTGCTGCGTTTCCCTTGCGCAGCTCTCCGTCTTCGCCGTACATGATGCCAATCTGTCAGCTTCAGCGAAGGCGCTGCGCGTGACTCGGAGCTCAGCCTCGCCTCCTGGCCCACGGTCAGCTCGCCGGAGACCAGGCGACCAATGCAGATGCGCCTCTTTTGAACACGCAGTGGACCGATGCAGAGCGCAGCGTCTGAGGATCTGACCCGACATAGTCGTCGTAGTCCAGGTTGGACACCTGTTTCCACTGGCGTGGCACAACAGCTGGAGCGGAGTTTCGGGGTCGCTGCCAGCATCTGCAGAGGAGCATCGTTGTCAACCTTGGGCTTTGGAGTCTCCTGCGGCGCTGGCGCGGTGGGTACAAGACTGTCGGGGCTGGTGGAGGTATATAAAGTTGTGTCTCAGCGCTCCTCGAGGATCGTGTCCAGCAGAGGTGTCAAGTCCTGAACCACTGTTTAATTCAAAGAGCAAGGGGCCGTTATCTGCGGTCCACCAGGGAGGCGGAGAAATCCCGAAGAGGCTCGTGTTGTTAAATACTGTAAGCACGGAGAGGACTGCAAGGAAACAACATTGAAAATCGCACGCTCATTCCCGTGCACCTCGTTCCGAAACCAGAAGACCAAATCAAGCCCGCCTGGCCTCCTTGAGATCATCGGGCCCATCCTCAGAAGCTAGAAGGGTGCAGCTCATGCCTTTTGCTGAAGCGCCTCGCAAATCACCTCAGAGCATGGCGACAGAGGCCACACCCCTAAAACCGGAGGCGTAGACCTGAGGCCACTACTGGTGACAGGTCAGCTGAAAGGAAAAGCAGCAGCCTGGCCCTCCCAAGGCAGCGGCCACCGGGAAGTCACAAGCCTCATCATCAGCACCCAAGCAGCCGAACAGGTCGAAGGTGGTGTCGAGGACCTTGTGACCGAAAGATCCGAAAATCAGCCGTGAAATGGCGGAGAAACTGAAGGCGCCGGACCCAGTCTGGTCGAGAGGCGGGCTTGTCCACCTCGCTCTGAAAGGCTTTCTTGTCTTAGGGCAAAAAGAGGCCTCGTCTAGTGATCTAGCGCCCGAAAGGTCCTTGTTGATGCAGACAATGATCCTCTTGCCCAGCTTCAGAGCCTGCCTTTGGGCAAAGCTCGGCGGTTGTAGAATAAGGTTGAGACTGCCAGTTGGTATTCCAGATCGCTACTGCAAATGGAGTTGATCATGGATGTTCAAGTGACTGAGACTGTAGCTTGATCTTGGCAACCCAGGTTTTATATGCGGCGTTGGGCATCAGCATTTGCTTGCTATTCTGCTGGCACTCGGAGCCATCATACGCCACCCTATCCTGCAACCAAAAACGAAATCAAGCGAAAGACCTGCCTCAGGACAAATTTCGTCTGCGGCATGGGGCCTTCCTGACAACTGCATTTTTTCAGGATGGTAGGGGAGTGCCGTCGGCTGTAAGTGCTGCCAGCGCGGCCGCTGCATCGACAAGCAGAAGGCAGCCGTCTGCCTGAACTGTTTTGCCAAGAAGAACCATGCAGAATGCAGCTGCCCGATGGGGCCCAGACCATGTTCAGGATGCGTTCAACTTCACCACCGAAGTCAGCGTGGCCCGGTGTGTCAACGATATTGATCTGGGATCAACAGACCCCGTTACCCTTCTCAGCCCGGTCAGGATGTTGCATGTGCCTTAATGCCTTTGTAGTTCACCGCGGCGTTCTTCGCCAGAATGGTGATGCCTCGCTCCTGTCGAAACAGTCTGCGCTGGCTGCAGACCGAGCATGTGAGCAGCTGATGCATAGCCGCCTGCTCCAGCTGATCGCTGTCCATGGACTTGACCTTTTCCATGCCACACCTCATGCCAAGCGAGCTGCCGCCTGAATCTTGCTCTCAACCCTCCAACACTCGAGAGTGCAGTCAAGCATCTGCTTCATGAGAGCATTGGTCAACGTGGTCCTTGCTAGCATGGGGCAATGCGTGTTGTCAATTCTCATGTGCCTTCTCTGTGGAAAAACCCCACGACACCCGAGTTCCGGTCTTGCCGTGGTCGACATGGGCAATGATTGCGATGTTGCGGATGTCCTTTGTGAGACGACCGACCGGCCCGGCGTTCGGGTCGAGATTTGGGTCAGGACCCGAGGCCTCGCGCTCCACGACGTCCGGCTTCTCCAACGTTGCCACGCGCAACGGGGCAGGCAGCCTACAAAAGGAGACGGCACCCAAGGCCTCACTGGTCCACTGGTTCGTGCCTTTGGCGCTGCGCCCGCCGGGTTGATTGCCGCCGAAGCGCAGCAACTGGCCACCGAAAACATAGCCAGTAGGGCACTGCACTTGTCGAGAGCATCCAATGCACCTGCACCTGCAGCAATGGCAGAAGTGGACACGGTCCAGGCCTGGCAGCCCAAGAGGCTGGTGTTTGGATGCAAAAAAGCCCAAAAGGCGGACTGAAAGCCCCCATCCGCCCTTCAGCTCAGCTCTCCGGGAACCCTCGCTGGGCTGGAAGCCAAGTCAGCTGGCGCGGATCTCCTTCGGACGAATGAAGGGTGAAAATCGGAAAACACTCTGACGGGCTGCGATGAGTGCCAGCCCAAGAGAGCTCCCCATCAACTGTGCCAAGAGGCTCAGGATAACAACAGAGACAAGGAGTTCTTGGAATCCACTCTTGATAAATGCCGCTCCCGATCGTTAGGCCTCAACTGTTGTCCTGGCAGTGGTGGCTGCAAGCCGAAGCCTAAGCCCTAAGCAAACCGAAACCAAAGAACCCTTGTACCCAATGGCCTTTCAGAGAACTGCGTGTAGGTGCGGCTGACAGAAGGAGCGGCTGGAGCCACCTGCGGTTCAGGGGTAGCTTCGGGTGTCCTGGCAGGGTTTCGTTCCAATTGTTGGTGGATTTCGGCCCAGGCTTTGGTCTTTCGGAGCTTTTCTGCGTGCACCGCATCGCGTCCACGCACTTCAACATCGCCGTCAGCAGGAAGTGGGATTCAGAACTCAGGGGCCTGTTTGGACGATCTTTGCAATCAGGATCCTACTAGGTTGATGCTTAATGATGGGGCTCTTGTTCCGTCCGACGCTGTCCTAGAGTTCTTTCTTCTCAAAGCCATGACAAAGGGAAGGTAGGGACCCAGGAATGTCCTGGAGGGAGGGAGCGATGCCAAAGTTCCTACCTTACCGCCTCATGGCCTGAAGTAAAAAAATCCATGGCAAAAAAACACCTCGAGACTTAATTAATAGGTTTTGTCATATCCGTCACCACCAAGGGCATCCATGCTCCATGCACGACATCTGAATGCCACATCGATGCACACACCCTGTAGATCTCTGAGACCAGCGAAGGTCAGCAAGACACCCTCGACTTGGAGATGAGGCGACCTGGCTGGCCTCCGACACTCCTGGCGCCAGAAAAGCCATGGGCTGTGAGAGGCCCGACATTGTCCCTGCAAAAACAGTGACACGAGGCGTCTGGAAACCCAGGATTATGCCAGGCCTAAGGCACTGCCGGTTCTCACCCTACCCTGGGGCTCTTGCAAGGGCCCAGGCCGCACCTCCCGAGCCCCAGAACCCCAGAACCCCAAGGTGCTCAGGCGACAAGGGTTTGCCACATCCTCCAAACCTACCCGGTGGCGCGCAAAGGCGTACACTCTCAGCTTGAGGGCAAGAATCACCACCTGCTTGTGTTACTGTACCGGTCCAGCCTCAGGTTGTGGCACCGAAAACTTTCAAATTCTGAGCCGAGAGCAGCGGGAAGTGAGAGCTTGATGAGCGTGACTCCGACAACTCTCAGTCTCAAAGCCAGCTCTGCATGTTCGACAGGCTGGTGCAGCTTTCGGTGCTTCCGCGACACTTCCGCAGTCTTTGTCTGAAAGCTGTCGCATCTTTGCCACTCACTGCCTGGGCTCAGGTCGCTGCTCGTTGCTCCAAGAAGCTTGTTTCCTGTACTCCCACACATGCTGGCGGCCGGGCGCAGGTCTTCCAGCCGGGGGTGTCTGGGCGTGCGGGGTCAGGAGTATGCAGTTGAAGATAGCACGCTGACGGTGCAGCGGCAAGAAGATTTACATCCCTGAGTTCTTCAATCCCCTCCAGCGCCTTTCATGGATACATGCCTGAGCATCCCTGATTCTGATCCTTGGCACCCCGGCCATCACAAGCAGTGCATGTTGCTCCGCCTTCCGACCGGTACCAGCTCAGACTGCATTCAGACCGCAGGATCCGCAGGCCTGCAGCACGCCCCCAGACCTTGGGCTGGCAGGGTTCGGGAGATCTGCTACCTGTAGAATCTCCAAGGAAGCTGGGCTCAGAGCACAGCAGTCCAGGCCTCGGAGAAGAAATCTACTCCCCTGCCACTGCCTTCATGCCTTGCATTTTTGCTGACGCTAAAATCTTCAGGAACACCGAATGCACAGGGAGCCGAACAGTCGCGTGAGAAGGGCTCCGTGACCTCGAGATCTCTCTAGGGGATGGCATGGGCTTCGAGGCGGCGGAGATCCTTCTTTTGATTCCCTGCGATGCACGACCTAGAGCCGATGGTCCGAAAGCTCAAGCTCACTCTCTGGCTCCCGGCGTCATGGACTGCTCCCTGGCCAGGCCTGACCCAGACATGATCACGCTTATCAGAGATCAGACTTGAGCTTTGGAAAGTTTCAGCCGTGGTGCGGCCTTGGGTGCAATGCGTGTGTGAGAGTGTGAGAGTGTGTGAG